TCCCGGGGCGGAGCTGCGCAGCCGAGCGGAGCCTTACGCGGCCCGAAAGCGAATGTTCGGGCCAAGCAAAGCAGCTCGCAATCCCACGTCTCGTGAGTCAAAACGACGTTTGGGAACGGGCGGAGAAAATACAAATACTTCATTTTCCAGAATGAAACCTCTTTCATCTAAATTACAGTGAAATGCACGTAAATTCGATTTTTAAGTGTTCAAAAATACAAAATCTAAGGTATTTCATTTTGGAAAGACCTCCAGGTGACTTAGAATAATTGCTTTCAATTCATTTAATCAAGAAAAACATCGAACTAGAATATTGAGACATTTTTATATTTGATGCAGTTTCATTTAATGCTATTTATATTCTTCTAGACTATTCATTTTCTAGAAAAAAGGGTGCGCGCCCCGCGGTACTCTGTTATTTGCACTTTATCACTATCTGAAAACCTGAATCCTTCATTGCCTGCGAGGGAGCAGCAATGGGCCAAGACCATTTTCCTTCTATGCTGAATCTCAGCTGGTTTAGAACAGGTGAAATATTCTGTTCAGTTAAAATATCTGCTGAAAACATCTAAATGTGGCTTTAGGTAAGTGATGTGCAACATAGCTCGTAATATTGACTGCCTATCTTGCCCGAAAGTGAAAATATTTCCTGGGAAAAAAAAGAGTTCTCAGGTTTTCTAGACTTTCTAATTCCTTGCATAAAATCAAGATTCCATCGGGTGGCAGTGTTCTGTCTGCTATTTCCCACGCAGAGAAGCACATCATTGAGCACAAATTTTGGAGATCCCTTAGAAGAGAAGCATAATATTCATAAATGCCAGGTTTTCTGATTTAGAGCAGACTTAAATTATTTAGAAGAACAAGCTGGGAGAAGAGTAATTCACCCATTAATAAAATATATTCAGATCTATTGGAAGTGCATTAGCTAATGAAGGCGCCAGCACCTAATAACACTGTGTGAAAGAGCCCAGCTTCAAATGGGAAGGCCATATTCAGTCGTCAGAATTCTTCTTCTGTCTTTCTACATAAGTATTTCTTTGATTGCACCTCCAGCAACACTGGAGACTGGATGTGCCTGATATTTTTACATTTAAATCCCTAACTCTTAGGCTGGCTAATGAGAAGGCATCCCGGAGTCCCTGCTGTTTGCAGCAAAAGTATCATGGTCCCATCGTTTCCTCCCATCCTCACTAATGAGCAGACCAAAGAGAATAAAAAGCAAAAATCCTCCAGCTGTACTTAACTGAAGGTACTCAGCCAACACATTTTGATTCCCCATGGCCTTTCCCCAGGCCTCCCAACCCTGGTATGCAGCAGGGTGCCAGAGCCCTCCCCTCTGCACAGGCAGTGCTCGGCAGCGTGTGATTGTTTCTGGGGAAACTAAATTTTTTTCAGGCGTAGATCTAAATGCCATGAGTGCACTTTTATTGCTAGCAGTGAACAAGACCATCTTCTGTGACAAGACGTGACTCGAGGCTCTGAAGAACACGCTTTGGGTACGTCATGTCATGCTAAGGATGCAAAGTCTGGGTAGCAAGTGCAAGAACAGGATGGGGCAGAGCAGATGGCTGCCCATCCCCATACCCCTCTGAGGGGGATGCCAAATCCCCAGCAGAGCTGCTGGAAAGCCCCATGGGGAAATCTCCATAGAGCTGCAGCACCTCTTTGCACTCCCTGTGTCCCAGCAGAAGGGCTCAGCCATGGGTTCACGCTGCACCATGAAGTTTTCTCAAATTAGAGAAGACACTGCTGATTACCCTGGCCACCAAAGGGAAGGGGACTTGTGTGGCAATTGCTTCAATACCCAGGAGTAGAGAGAGGATGTAGGGGACCTGGGGAAATGCAGAAAGCATCAAAGCGTGTCTTGGTGGATGGGAGAAGTGGGGAGGCAAAGGGATGCAGGGGAGGGCAGGGCTGGATCCCTCCGTCCCATTTGCTGCAGGCCTGGCAGTCACCTCTAAACAGGCTTGCTCATTAACTGCACGTCACTTGGGGTCATGGTGGCTGGCACTGCCTTTCTGAACCTTCTTGGGGACTTTGCTGGAATTTGGAGGTTGTTAAAATATTTACTTGAGGTTTTACATCTCTGAGTAATAAAGACCATAAAGATCAGATCCCCAGTGGATTGCATGTAGGACTGTGGTAGTTGTAAACCACGAGCACGCGAATGCTGAAAGTTCTGTTGCTCCTGGCATGGCTCTACCTCAGCTTTCTTTGGTTGTGGCACTCCTTTCATGAACACTGGGGTTACAGTACCTGGGTGCACTCCTGCTTTTTATTGCATTCTTTAGTATGCATGAAATGTCCCCTTGCAGCAAAGCAGGGTCCCAAGGATCCCAGGCTGTGTTAGGCAAAGTATTGCCAGCAGGATAACAGAGGTGATCCTTCCCCTCTCCTCAGCATTGGTGAGGCCACAGCTGGGGTGCTGGGTCCAGTTCTGGGCTCCCCAATACAGAAGAGACATGGATGTACTGGAGAGAGTCCAGCGAAGAGCCACAAAGATGATGAAGGGACTGGAGCATCTCTCCTGCGAGGAAAAGCTGAGGGAGCTGGGACTGTTCAGCCTGGAGAAGAGAAGGCTCTGGGGGATCTCATCAATGTCAATAAATATCTAAAGGGAGGGTGCAAAGAGGACAGAGCTGGGCTCTTTCCAGTGGTGCCCAGTGACAGGATCAGAGGCAACAGGCACAAAGTGAAACACAGGAGGTTCCCTCTGAACATCAGGAAACACTTTTGCACTGTGAGGGTGACCAAGCACTGGCACAGGTTATGCCAGGGACATTGTGGAGTCTCCATCCATGGAGATACTCAAAAGCCATCCAGACACGGTCCTGGGCAACCAGCTCTAGGTGACCCTGCTTGAGCAGGGGCTTGGACAAGATGACCTTCAGAGGTCCCTTCCAACCTCAACCATTCTGTGATTCTGTGTCAGGAAAACAAACTGCATCATTAAGTCTTCTGGTTAGCTGCCCTGAGAACAAGAGTCAGCTCTGACTTGGAGCTGGAGGAAGAAAGCTGCAGGCACATACTGAAGTCAACAGAGGGCAACATGACTGCATAGACTAACGGAGACCTGCCAGGCTGTTTTTGAAAGAAGTACACATAAAAACCTACAGCATTATGTTTCTTTGAAATACTGAATATTTTCCCACATTACAAATGGCATTTTTACACATATGCCTATGCATACATGTTTATTTGTAACACATCAAGATTATCAAATTATCAGCCTAGACAGAATATTACAGTGGCTCTGACTTGGGAAAACAGAACTGAAAGACCTACCACACTGCGTCCAAGGACTGGATGGTGGCCATCAGTGTCTTGTACCTTGCAAAGCCATATTTCACAAAACACATTTTCAGATGATTCCTCCTATCTTTGGTAAATCCTTTTGGTAAATTCCTCTCTTTAGTGAGAGTGAGCACCATGGCAGGGTAAGGTACATCCAGAAAGAGACCGGGGGTGGCATTTTGTTCTGCACCCTTGGCCAAAGTAGGGTACTGTACTGCTTTCCAATTGCTCAGCTTATTGCTCTGCTTACAAAAGCTTCCTATCACTCAGGCATTAATGCAAGATGAGTAGAGAAGTGGAGAGAAAGCTACAGCAAGTCCATGACCTCTGTTTGAGGTTCTGCGCCAATATGTGGGCAATATGGGACAAATTGGAGGGAGGAAGGCAAGTGGGACGGGGCCAGATGCAAACCAGCAGCATACCTGAGATTCACCAAAGAGGCAGGACAAGTGTCTCGGAAGCATATCAGGAGTCCTGGTATGTACTCTGTTCTGCAGGTGTTTTACAACGATCTGTGGCTCTCAAACACTTGTGGGAGAGTTAATAGGTCATGACATTCCTCCACTAGCTGGAGATCTGAAGGAGCACACGTAGGCAAGCAGGGGGCCAGGGAAGCTGGAGCACTGCATTTTCAAACCAAAGGGAAGTTAGACAGGAGTCCCAGACCCTACAAAGAGCACCAGAGCTGGGTCTGGTGGCAGGACCCATTTGGGTTCTCTCACCCTACATGCTGACCACAGAAAAAGGCATCAGTCCAAGCTGTAACTGTGACATACCTAAGGCCTCGTCACATACCATGGTTAAACACCGGGCACCCTGCCCCTGCGGTTGGCTTGTGAGTGAGGTGCAATGCAGCTGCCTCACCTGAGGGAGTGACTCTTCCTTGCATTTAAGTGTTAGGCACCTGGTGAAGCCATCCTCCTAAAGCAAATACCTAAATTCCCTGGGTAGTCAGCAAGTGCCTTTGAAAATAAGCACCCGGGAGATCCTGTCTGCCTATCTTATATGCATGCACCAAGGCCAACACAATCTTCCTTCGGGCCTTCAAGGATTCCTGCCTCTGCTTTTATTATACAGGGAAAACGAGCAAGCAAGGCAGGACTTGTCTCACCTCACTGCAGCTGTCAAGGTCTGACTTCTGGTTTAGCAGTTCTAATGGAAAGCTAGTCTTCTGGGCTCCAGTGGGAGATGCAGAACGTATGGCAAATTGAGAGGGTTATTCATCCTGTCCCAAGGTGCATGTCAAGGATTGCCCTCCAATGGATGACTGTAGTGCTGCCGTCCGTTGAGCAGAGAGGGGACCCAGGTGACCTACATTAAACATCAAACTTTGAGAGAGTCAAAGCTGGTGGGAAAAAAGCTCACCCCATTTACAAAGGAGTGCCTCCATAGGCATGGAGAACTTGGGTGCTAGTTGGGCATCTCGGGCAGTTCCACTGGGTCCTGCCCTGGCCGTCCCAGGGACACAACTGCACTGCTGCCCCTCAAAGGAGGCAGAGATGAATCTCCCTTTAGTCATCAGTTTGCTTAACTTTATCAAATTATTTGGAAAGAGGCTAAAGCAGTTTTCCTCTCCCTTTAGTCATCAGTTTGCTTAACTTTATGAAGTCTGTGCTGCAGAAAGCGGGAACTCTACATCTGATGGCCTTCCCTCCAATTTCCTTCCATCTCACTTCCTTCTGGGTCCTAATTATTTTGCAATAGCAGTGAGTAGCTTTGCATATCAGTAATGCGGTGTACCTTGTAAAATTCTATTCCCTGCGCATTACTCAGTTCTAAAAATTTGTGACCTTCTACCTAGAGAGGAGGCTATGGATGAGGCAGATGTGGCCTATGAAAGCCTTGTTCGAACGTGGGAAAAAGTCTGAGTTATTTCTAGTAGATTACGCAAATGATTCACTGCAGGATAAAATTGGGCAGTGCCCATAATTCAAAGTCTTTACAATGAGAATGCGGATAGGATTATGTATTACTGATGTTTTCCTTTTCCTGTGCTCCATTTGTCATTGCCTGTTTAAACTTCTTAATAAACATTTATACCAGAGCTGATCATAAAGTGCCAGTTAATTTTCACATTTTTTTAAAAAAAAGCACTTTCATTTGTTTTAAGCTTCCAGTTAAATTTTCAGGTTTTTAATAAAAATCAAAACCAAAACTACAAATATTTTGTATTTCTTAAACACCTGTCAATTTCATTGGTTCCATTGGTTTTGGAAAACATATAGATCTATACTGAGGTAGAAAGCTTCCACGCAAGTTTTCATGTTAACTAAAATCTCACTTTTGTCACCAAACAAAGCCATTAAAAATGCAGCGACTACGCAGTATTTAATTTTCTTTCATTCCAAAAGCTCTGCCAAACAAGGTAATTAAAATAAAAATAAAACCTAAATAACAAGGCAATGAACTCACAGATGCCCTTCAAGAGACATGTATTACACCAAGGAAATGGGACACTTCTACTCAGGGGATGGGTTTTCTCATGCTCTGCTCTCCTGATCCAGGATCTGGCCTTTAAATCCCTGAGCAAGGGGGTTTTGTGGCTAACAGAAATTTTGCACCAGGAGTCAGGGACATCGTCTGTGTTCAGGCAGAAAATCTTCGAAGTAATAAATTCCCATTTATCATCTTGGCTTTATGAAAGTCAAAGTTCTCCCTGAAGCACAATGTTATTGTGCAGCTCGGAGCTTTCTCGGTGATAACAGGGTGATAAACAGAGCATATTTCCTGCATCTAAGATCGCTGCAGTGTTAACTTTTTAAGCACTGCATGGTACCTGGATGGGATAATGTCCTGATCTCGCACAGCAAATCAACTGACACCATGAAAATCAAGGTGCACGCACCGTGCTAGCCTGCAGTTTGCCCTTTAAGAACGGTAACTGATGTAGATTAGTTATGTTAACATTACAGTTTGTTTGTGATAGTGTGTGCTAGTCTGTTAATATAGTACGTTATAACAAAGTTGTGTACCTGGGAGGCACTAACCCCGTGCTACAGTGTAAGCTGAGTTCCAGCTGGCGAGAAAACAGCTCTGGAGAAAAGGTCCAGGCGGTCCTGGTGGACACCAAGTTGATCATGAGCAAAGGTGCAGCCAGGGATTATTTCCCTCTGTCCAGTGCTCGTGGGACTACATCTAAAGGTCTGCGTCCAATTTTGGCTCCCCAATGCAAGTAAACATGGTGATAGAAGCAACAGGCACAAGTTGGAGCACGGGCACTCTGCCCTTCTTCTCGGCACCTGCCTGGACCCCCCTGAGGCTATCTAACCTGATCTTTAGGAGCTCCAAGGAGACTTTACAATGCCATTGGCTACCTATTCCTCAGCTCTAGTATCATTATCGTTAGAAAGTTTTACTACTACTGTAGATCTACCCTGGGCTGGTTACTCTATGAAAGAGAATGTTTTGTCAGTTTGATACGATTTGTTCTTGAAAAATGTCTGTTCATCACTGCTTATCTCTTCATTATCTTCAAGGTGTTAAAATTTATATAAGTGTTGAAGTAGTCTTGGATTCCCTTGGTTCTCCTTTCTCCTTCAATTAAAAAGAAAGTAAATCCTTTCACACTCAGCAAGACTCCAACGTCCCATCCTTCTTGAGGTCTCTGTAGACAGTCAAATGTTGCTTCTCTGACTCCTTAAGTAGTCCAGGATGAATTTCATCAAGGCCTGCCAACCTGGGGGCCTTTACCTGCAGTCTATAAGCACAAGTCTATAAGCAAAAACTTTATATATACATTTTGTGTTTATCGTTAAGATACATAGGACAGAGAAAGAAGAGGTTAAATAACATTCAGACAATCTAGAATGATACATGACTAGTCTTTACACTAAGGGTTGGTGTTTCAGCATTGAAGAAATGTTAATTTTGCAAGCAGTAAAACAATGTCAAGCCAAATGAAACTGCTTATAAGAAAAGAAGAGAAAAAGAAACATACAGAAAAAAATGAGGGTTAAACCAAATAAAACCAGCATGACTTGCGTTACAAAGTGAACAAGCGCGGAGGCAAGAGCTACCTCTACTTTAACACATAATACGTTGTGCTGGTTTTAGCTGGAATAGAGTTAAATTTCTTCATAATAGCTTGTATGGGGCTATGTTTTGGATTTGTGCTGAAAACAGAGCTGGGGCACAGCTGGGACAGCTGGTCCCAACTGACCAAAGGGGGATCCCACACATACGACATCATGCTCAGCACATAAAGCTGGGGGAAGAAGGTGGAAGAAGGAGGAAGGGGGGGACGTTGGGAATGATGGCGTTTGTCTTCCCAAGTCACTGTTACACGTGATGGAGCCCTGCTTTCCCGGAGATGGCTGAACCCCTGCCTGCCCATGGGAAGCTGTGAATGAATTCCTTGTCTTGTTTTGCTTGTGTGCGCAGCTTTTGCTTTACCTATTAAACTGTCTACCTCAGTGTCCTGGTTTCAGCTGGGATAGAGTTAATTTTCTTCATAGTAGCTAGCATAGTGCTGTGTTTTGGATTTAGTACCAGAAGAATGTTGATAACACACTGATGTTTTCAGCTGTTGCCAAGTAGTGCTCAGACTACTCAAGGACTTTTTGAGCTTCT